ACAGCGCAATCCATAAAAGGTCCTGCTAAGTGGGCGTGAATGTTTGTATGCACCACTAAATTGTGGATGTGTGGTTGTCTGTTGATACAATACCCCATTGTGCCCAGTGGTACTATCACCTCTCAGTCATAAAACGGATGTGATTGCGGCTTATCTGCCGCCCTAATCACCGGGCCTGCCTCGGTTTCGGGTCTCCAGAAGCTTCACCCATAGCTTCTGGTATGACAGTGGGAGGAGGTGGGGCATGCAATTCCAAATGGATAAAAGTGTGATTGAGAGAGATGCACTATTTTCGAGTTGAACAGAGAAGTACGTACCGAGAAGCGAGAAATAGTGAGTCGTAGAAACGAGGGGATCAGGCAAATGCGTTTTGTATGCCACCCTATGGTATACCAAATCAAGCCACGTCAGATTGAGGTGCACCATTTATTCATTCATTCATTAGGAGATGACGGGCAATATAAGGTGTCAAGATGGATTGTCGACACATTCTTCATGTCTTGTGTGCGTTGTTAAAATGCGTTGTGCGTTTCGGATTGCTTAAGGATTAGCTGACCGACGGATCGACCGATTGAGAAGTGGTGGTGACGTTAACGTTACGGTGTCTAATGGATAAGCATGTCCCTGGTTATTTCCAAGGCCTCCAATCGCCGCTTATCCCAAAATTTGAAGACGCGTACCACTTCATACCCAAATGACTGCGCTGCGGTGGAATGCAGACTCAATTGTTCATTAGGTCAAACCATTACAGCTGGAGGCATATGCAAACCGATGCAACTCGGAGGTTAGGAAGGAGAGAATCCTACGTTGAGAAAAAGGCCATAGGCCTAGCGAATCAGCGGGTGGAAAGTGGTGGGTTCCATGCCTCGTGCTATCACAAGACTTAACTGTGGAAACAAACAATGTTGCACATCGGTTGTAAAGTTGCAGCAAAACAGAGGGAGGGCGGGGTAATGCCTCATCACCGTCCTCGCCCAAATCCAGCTCCTCCGTATTTGATGGTTCTGCACCAATTGATGATTAGCATCTTTTCTTGACATTACCAATGGAGGGTCACATGACCCCATGTGAAACAGACAGCAGACAGGAGGGGAGTAAAAGTGCGGTGAAACTGACGTGACACAAAATCGTTTTGTGATAGTGGACTAGTGTAATCTGTAGTAGGTTTATGTCTGGATTGGGGCGCTTGATTGCTAAATTCATTATCTAAGTAGGTAGTCTATTTTGCGGAACTCCGTCGTCTTCCTTTAACCTTAGTGCCGTGCTAACTTATGTGGGTTCCCTACAAATACATAGCAGCACTGGCAGACCGCGGGTGGAAGTGATATAGAAAGAACTCCATTTCATCATGATGGTGGCAAAACCCACGGTCTGTAGAGTATCTGTTTATTTAATTTGCTCTCATCTTTTTCCCTTAATGTCGTTTAAAAGGAGGTATTTTTGCTCTGCTCTTTCGTCTAGGTCTCTACCGTCGGCTGAACCTCAACATGCCACCTCGGCTGCCTGTGCGAGAGGACATCATCGACCACACTCTGGACTCTCCACTAACCCAAGTTGGCCTCTTTGTTGCTGGCGCCTGTGGTCGCGCCTTCGCCGAAGCCGGTGTCCGCTTCTCTGTTTGCTACGTCTCACCCGCCCTGCGCTGCGTTCAGACGGCGTGCCAGTTGCTGCGAGCTGCTGGACAGGTGGGTACCTCTTCTTGTCCACACTTCGTATAACTCTTGTTTTGAGAACCATTGGTCTTAATTTAGGCCTCATAAACCATCCAGGAGACGGACAGTTGGCGAGAGACAATGACGACCATTATAGTTGTATTACAAATCAAGTCTTTCCAACTAATCATTACTAATGTCGCGATGCTCTTACCTTAATCTTGTTCCTGCGGACATTCGGGGAATTTTGATGTGTTGTGATTAAGCCCCTGCACTGGTGGATAATATGAATGCATCTTCCAAGTCGGTTTTCTTCCTTCCGCGTCGCACAACAACTGTTTTTCTCTCTAGTAATGTACTTTTGGTAGCAACAGGGTAGGTTAATTTTTGTCACATTCACTGAGGGCAAGCAGTTGCGCTTGAATCACTGGAATTTCCTCTGCTTTAAAGTGATGAATTATGAGACACAGGGGGTTTGTAATCCAAACATCTGTTTGGCTTTAAGTGTCTTTTTCAACACCTTTGGTCGCATCGCCTTGTCCCAATGGGATATCCCCCTTCCTAGGAGGCGAGGAGTTGTGAGGAGCTAGAGCATAAGAATTTCCACCTGTAAACCGTTTATGGCGCTTTCATCCCTTGACCACGCTTTGATAAATAACGTGTGGAGAAGTTTGTCCATTCAAACTGCTTCCCACCTCAAAAACAGTAGACGTACCCATGGCCGTTGGTGTTTCACAGATCTTGCCATTGGAACTGTATCTCTCCACCATTGTTTTATTTTGTGCTTGATTGATAGGGTGGGTAAGAGTTTCCCACTTGATCTCACTTCCTTTCACTAAAGTAATCCCTAAGTATATTGAGGCTTCCGATCACGAACGCGGAAACAGTTCTGAAAAGGCGTTTTTAACACGCTGGACTTTTAATAAAGTGCTGGAACGCTGGACGTGGAGACAGTGCTGCGATAGCCCGGAAACCGTTTCTCACGGTAGCACCTTGGTAGGCAAAAACAAGGATACGTGTAAATCACATTAAGAGGGGTGAAAGAACAACGCTGGTAGCGGCATGTCGACGGCGTTGGAAAATAAATGCTTTCTTTTTGTCCCATTCTCTGACTCGTCGTATTGCTGCGTTGTGTCGTGCAGCTGGAACAGGAAAGGAACCACATCTCTCCAACACTGTCCGCGATTCCAGATTCAAGACTACTTGTTTGCGTGTGAGAGTGTCTGGTTTAAGGAGGACATCTGGTTTTTTTGCAGACAGCATGTCCGAAATTCATTACAAAATGTCTGGTCTCAAATTTGAGCCCCAGTGGGTAAGTTTTTTTTTCTGTTTTACCATATTTTTACTGGTAAACCAGACCGCTTCTACGCGCATGAATGTAGCTTTGATATTTCGGCCACGTCTTCAATGTAGCAATCCAGCTCCTCCTAAAGTTGTTGTAGGTTTTACAAATCAGTACAGAAGAGCCGGTGGACTGTTAACGCCACTGAGATTGTTTTCACAGCTAAAAAAGGCCGAAGGCATACAGTCAGTTGTCAATCACAGCGCAGTCAGTGGTTGTACTTTGATTCCCTACGCAGTAGACATGGCAGCTGTTCCCACCACCAGGAGCAATTCACCTCGCCCATTCCAGCATGGCCCATTTTCATCCTGTCAACTGGCTTGTAAGGATGGGAGGAAGTAGAATTCTTCAAGCAACTCATCTTTGTGTAAATGGTGTCGGGAATGTCGTAGTGCCCCCTTTTCTATCTCCTTCATCTGCCCTTTATTAGGTAGGTAATGGGTTATCCTTGTGATGGACACGAGGTTGAGACGAGTTTCAATGGCAGACATGACTTTGGTGACCCTCCTCTCGTAGGTCTCCGTGTATTCAGCCACCTACAGTCGCTTCTTTCTTGTGTGGTGTTTAGACGTGGCCACCAGGCACCACGATCCGAATTGTTGCTTTGGCTTTGGTCGCTAACTCTTGACACCACTGTAGCGGTCAGTGTCCTTGCCTTAAGGTGTTATGCTACACACTCGACTAGATGCCCTGATTGATGGGCGGTTAGTCAAAATGGCTTAAAAGACGTCGGACAGGGTAGTGTAAAAGTGCACGAGAGTCGGGACTCCCCTGTGTCCGCCTTGTTGACCGCATGACTCATTGGGGAAGTGCAGTTGTGTGAATGATTTCGGACATGTCTGATTTTGATGGTGTCTGGTCGCTAAAAGCATAAACTGTAACTCCTGCGTGTGCCATAAGACGAAATTTTGGGCCGTTTTTACTACCAGATGAACTGTAAAAACGCCGTTCAGAGGAATCCCATCAGTTATCAATGTAATCGTATGAATCATCCAGAAGGTATCCGAAAGGATCGAGTAAATATCATTTTTCTGAACGCTACAGACATTCTGAGTGAGTGAGTTAAAAGGCAAACTCATGCGCTGTCGTTGATAGGGCATTGATACTACTGCTATTTTGCTGCAGCATCCTGCGGAAACCGGATGTCGGTGGTAGCCTTACCAACAAACACCTGCGTGCACATGAGTAAAAGCAGAGGCAGCATACTTTGATGAAAGTTTTCTTGTCCGAAGTGGTCGGATGACGAGAGAGGCTCAGTGCGTACAGTGGAGCGCAGCACAACTTAAAAAGTGGGATGCAAAACTGTACGAGATTCTTCTAGGTTGTTATAAACATGAATCGGGTGAGTCCATTTGAATCAGCAACCGTTCGGGACTATTCAGTGCAGTACAATGCAAAGATTCAAAAATGGATGAGTCCACACCCTTCTGTGTCCATTTTGTTGATTGCACGACTTATTGTGGAGGTCTGTCCTCTGGATTACTTCGCGAATGTCTTATTATTTTCTGGTTTATAATATAATGCGCTGTAACTTCGAAGTGTGATGTTTGACTAAGTTTTGGGCTGTCAACACTATCTGATGAGCTGTCAAAATGCCATGCAAAGGAATCGCATTAGTTGTCAACAAAGTTGTATGGAAAGTGTGTGTTATTGGAGTGGGTGGAAGGTGCAATTTGTACCGTATTTCCGTTAAATTCTTCTTCCTCGGACGTATTGAGAGTTCCACTTTGATTTGTGCTTGCAATTGCACCTTAAACAATGGTTCCATCGTGAAAACAGGAGACGTTTGCTTGAGGAGGACGCGTGAAGTAGCACCAAAAGGTTTTACTGCGGTTAGGGTTTACCGAATTGAAGCCTGTTTGGTGCACGAGCTGAAGATGTTTCTCAGACGGTACGTATTTACTTGACTCCGAAATCAGTGGTACCAACACTGTCGCCTCCGAGTTCTTCCTAAAGAAGGCGTCATAAGATTTTATGTGCGTAATTTGTTGGTACCACGTTGGCGCCAAAATCTCCAAAGCCTGTATAGACCACACATCAGTAGCAAGTTTTTTTTTTTTTAACAGAGGCTTTGGCTATTTGCATTAGAAGCATATGGCTTGTTGATTTGGAGGCGTATGAAGCAGGGGCATAGTAATGAGGTAAGCTTGTGTGCACATTGTGTACTGCAAGGCAGTCCGTCTTTTAGACATTTCCTATCATTTGCATAATTTATGCTGTTAAACTGGAAATTTACACCGTATCTGTGTGTTCTTACCGTTGTAAAACGATGAGGCAAGTAAGGCAGTACAGCAGATGAACGTGAAGACTTCCTACTTCGAACACCCTCCCGTGTTCATTGTTGTTACTATTGTCAAAGAAGGGAGTGAGGTTTTTCGTATCTGCCTTGCTTGAGCCCTTTCCTGCCTCAGGTTATTTTTAGAACACGCCGTCTCGCCGGCCTTTCCTCCTACTTAGCTTTAACCAATCTCTCACTCTATTCACGGAGCCAAGTTGTGATAAATTTCTTTACCTTTTTTTGAGCCACATGCTTCTATTGCGGGATTGGGGGCTACAGACGCGTAGCTGCAAGGTATTTATAAATTAAGATTAAACGTCAGTGTTCGGTCCAGACCAGCAACGTACATGAGATGGACTACAGCTGAAGTCCCTCTCGTTTGCCATGTCTTGCCCTCCCTCCCCAGTTTCAGATGCAATTCTATAACACCCATGTAAGGCATATGTTTGGCCGCTTTTATACTTTCCTCTGTTTCCTCCTCTTCCTCTTGCTAAGTTCCTTCATATAAAACTGCACATTGAACATCTTTTGTGGATCGTAGTAGTCCATTCCTTCTCAAGACTGCGCTGGGGAATGTTTGAGAGAAGTAAAAAAAAAAACAGAAAAATAGACCATGTTAACTGAGGTAGTTTTACGGGGTGGGAAGAAGTGGCCGATCCAGCCCCTTTCCTTCCTGACCACGGCAGCGTTATAGCTTACCCCGTGTGCGTACACACTGCAGTGGAGGCATAAATCATGCCTTTCGAAAACCAGCTCTCAAAATGGGCGCTGGATTGTGTCCCGGGCCAGTGGGGACTCGAGTGATGAATTGTTGTTTTGGCGTACGTGGGTGCAAATGTTTATGGGACATTCACGTGATACCTAGGCGACCGCCTCTGGCTGATTGCCCAGGAGAAGTCGGGTGTATTCCCAGCATCTTTTGTCTCCCTGCCACCAATTTTTCATCCATCTGACTAACCGTAGCAGTCGCGAGACGGTGGAAAAAAAGCAGACTGAAATCTGTCTGGCATTTAGCACCATGTGATTCAAGCTCCCAATTAAATCGACTGCTGTGTAAGCTAACCCAGACTTCTTATGCCTCTCCACAAAGAGTTCTTTTGAAAGCTCAACGCGTTGCACGGGTCTAAAAGTCAATTTGTTAGAAAAACTGCGGAAGCTGAGGTCTGGCGCTCTTATAGGTGGAATGGATTTACACTTTTATGTTTGCGAAGAAGGATTTGACTGGAGGAAAAAGTGATAGCGAACCTGTCGCCAGACAGCCGCATTGCTGCCGGTAACATTGCGCTAGACCTTGGAGACTAACCAATCCTTTGAATATGCTCTCCACCTACTCCAATCACCAAGCTTAGTCGGCAAGCAGCGAAGTTTACTGTGACTGCTTTGATATCTCCCAACCCACTACTACCCAGCTTTTGCCACAGGGGTTGGCGACGGTAGGGACATTAAAGGTGTTTTCCCATTCCTCTTAGCGTGCATTCATTCCAAAACGGGGTCGTTTGATGTAAACAATATTTGCGTCATTTTTACCACTTATCCTAACCTACCATTGCGGACGTGTCGGTTATGGCTTTTTGTGACTGTTGTTGTAAACAAGTGTGTACGGGAATGTCCAATATTTCGTCATACAGTAAAATCAACCTTTTCAGTAGTGTTTAGAACCCCTTCAACGTCGTCTTCTAGTGGGATTTTGG